GATGCGTGGAAGTATTTCGAAGCCTCAGTCGCAGACACACAGGGATGGAAACCAGCAGGGAGCAAGCCGAGTACCTCTCCAGCTGTGACTGGTCTCCCTTTTCCCGGCCTCAGCAGGTAGAGGGAGATTTCGCTCAGAAGCCTGGTTTCCCAAAACGAGGCCAGAAGCGGAAAAGCAGTTATGAGCTGAACTTCCCGGAGGGCGATGGCCGCCGCCGCCGGGTACTCTCCAGGGGCCGGGAGAGCCCAGCGGTGCCTCGGTACTCGGATGAAGGGCTGTCCCCCTCGAAGCGGCGGCGTTTCTCCATGCGGAACCACCACAGTGATCTCACGTTTTGCGAGTGAGTTGAATGACTTCTGGGGACAGCTGGCTCTACCTTGGCCAGAGTAAAGGACTAGGAGGAGAGGGGTCCGTGTGTTTGCTGCTTGAGACGCAGCCGTCCCTGTCCCTTTAATGACACAGGATTATCTTGATGGAGATGGAGTCTCATGATGCAGCTTGGCCTTTCCTGGAGCCTGTGAACCCACGCTTGGTGAGCGGGTACCGGCGCATCATCAAAAACCCTATGGATTTCTCCACCATGAGGGAGCGGCTGCTCCGGGGAGGGTAGGTAGACCTGCGCCCGCCCCTGTCTGCTGTTGCCGCCCCCCCCCCCCCCCCCCCCTGCGCTCACGCACCACCTCCGCCCGCCCAGGTACACCAGCTCCGAGGAGTTTGCGGCTGATGCGCTCCTGGTCTTTGACAACTGCCAGACCTTCAACGAGGACGACTCTGAAGTGGGCAAGGCCGGGCACATCATGCGTCGCTTCTTCGAGAGCCGCTGGGAGGAGTTTTATCAGGGAAAACAGGCCAATCTGTGAGGCAAGGGAGGTGGAGAGTCACCTCGTGGCATCTCCCCCGCCCTGCAAACAAAAAACCCTGCCATTCTCACCTGCTGATGCTGCCCTGGGTCCAGACTCAAGTCAGAGATCTCAGCCTGATTTTTGACCTTACCCTCGGCAGCGCCCTACATCCTCTTCTCCCTACGTCCCTTTTTCCCTTTCCTCCTCTTGCTCCTCAACTAAGAGGGGCAGAGATGAGGTCCTTCTGGACTGAAAGCCAAAAAAAAAAAAGAAAGAAAGAATTTTTCCTTTCTGTTTTATTTCCTAATTTAAAAAGAGGAGGAGGAAAGAAGTCCCTGCTTCCTTCTCCCAGCTTCTTCTCCTTCCCCGTACCTGCCCCAGCATCCTGGGGCTATTTAACAATAGCAATAGTTCTAGTGAATGTGTGAAACCGAGAAACACTCTGTACTGTGTGTGGACCCGCAGTGACGGCCAGTAAAGTGGACTTAACTCCCAAGTGTGTCGAGCCGGACACCGGGCCCTGAACATGCTGCTTCCATGTTCAGTCCCTTCCCTGCTTCTCACCTTCTCAGTTTTTCCTTTTCCTACTCTTCCTCCTTTAAGATTTTTCTCTCATCCAATAATGTAAATCTATCGTGTACGGGTTCCTCTACCCTTTTTTTCTCCCCCCAGATCTTTTTTCCCCTCAAAGGAAAAAGAAGTTCAGAGGTCCCTGTCTTTCTCTCTGTCCTCATCTTCCTGCCAATAGCTGTCCCCTCTGTCATGTTGGATACTCCTCACGTGCTGAGTTTCTGGCCTTTTGTGAAACCCAGTAGCTGGGGAGAGGGCAGGGAGGCACCCTGACCCCGGGCCTCCCGGCCTCCTTCCCCACCTCTTACCCAAACCTCCCTCTTGGGAACTCCTCAGGGACAACTACTGCTGAGTTTGGGCGCACTCCCAAGATGGAGGCCAGGTAGCAATCAGCTGGCCTCAGAGGTGTGTGTGTGTGTCTCTGTGTGTGTGTGGTGTGGGGGGAGGGGGAGGGCGGGGATCGCTGTGCTTGTGCCCCTGTGCTGTGAGATGGCATCCAGGTTCCCCAAGTGTCCGTTTTTATTCCCACCTTCCCTAGTGTTTCAAACCATCACATTTTTGTCCTCGGGAAACCACAGGAGCAGTTTTTCTGGGTACAAGGCTGTGTCTCCTCTCTCCCAGGCATTTCTGTTCCAGCCTCTTCAAACTGTGCAATCTTTCAGCAGGAACCCCCTCTCCTGTCGGAGCTTCGAGCCCTAAGCTCGTGCGGGGAGAGGGGTAGAACTGGATCTTTTCCTAATCCCATGAGCTTCTGTGGGTTTAGTTGTGCTTTTTCCTCCCTTACCTACTTCAAGCCCGGGACCCCTTCCCCAGCAGCAGCAGCAGCAGCGACCGCAGAGCACAGGAGAGCCGGGAAGGGGGTTCGGGGTCCACCACTGCCCTACCTGTGACCACGCCCCCGTTAAGCCCCAGCACGTGAGAGGAAAGCTGCTAACTCCTGCTCCGGCCCGGCCCGCCTCCTGCTCTCCTGGCGGCAGAGCCCCTCCCACCAGAGATACGGGTACTTGCACTGGGGAGGGGCTGCTGGCAGCCCAAGCAGAGCGGAGGCGTCGTCGGGGCGGGGGAGGGGCGCCGACGGGGCTGAGCATTCCCTGTACTGGCAGCACTGGATGGCCCTGGGGGCGGGGCGGGGCGGGAGGCGCTGGGCAGCCCCTCTGATTCCTTTTGCCCCTCTTCTCCTCCATGGCCTATTTCTAAAGTCGCCTTTTCTGTCAGATAAACCTCAAAACTTTTAATTTTATTTGAGATTTTTTTTTTTTTTTGCTTTTTAAGAGGATTGAAGAATATTTGAATTGACTTTATATTATGCATAAATATTTATATTTTATCTAAATAACTGCGCTGTAACAAAGTTTGTGTTAGTCAAACGTTTGGAACTGTTCTAGTTGGGGGCTCTTCTTTTTGCCCCATGGCAGTTTTCCCCTGGTATAAAATGTACTAATTTTATTGTTGGAGGCGAGGTGGACGGGTGGGGGTGGGGGGGAGTGAAGGCTCCGTGTTCCTTGTGTTCCTCTCCTAAGCGCCACCTCTTTCCCTAGGGACCAGGCACTCGAGGTGGGGTGGCGTCCTAGCCTCAGTTTGAAGAAGTTGGGGCTGAAAGGGGGGTGGGGGTAGGGCATGATCAAAGGGGCCATTTCTCGTGTTTCTTTCCTCATCTTCACTGCCCCTTGAGCTAGGTGGATTTTCTCTTCTTGACAAATGAGAGTATTTGGTAGGGAAGGCAGGTTAAAAAAAATAATAAAACCCACTCCCTGCCCCTTGTTCCCCCTCCCCTCTACCAGTCTGGTAACAGGAAGAAACCACACCATCAACACCAACAAGTTTCCATGTTCCTTTTACAACAAAAGGGACTTGACTTTTTATATAACCAAATGTGGTGTTTTAGTGACTTTTTGATAATGTACAGTTTTTTGTGAATTTAAATTTATTTCTTTCTATATTTTTAGGACCAATCTCATTTTTAATAAGGTTTAAAAAAGAAAAAAAAAGGTCTAGAGAAAAAAACTCCTGTTTTTGCCATGTGATGTTCCACAAGTGCAGCTGTAGAAAAGTGCTTGTCAGTTGAAATAAAAACCACATTTGATAGAGATTCAAAAGACTCTGTGTATTTATCTTCCCTTCCACAGAGGTTCTCGCCGTGCCTGAGGGGAAGACTGGGCCTCAGGCAGGAGGGCGCCCACGAGGCCCCTCCGACCGTCGCAGCCAGGTGCCACCCAGACTGCAGAGTCCGGGCGCACAGGGCCGCCGCCGCCGCCGCCGCCGCCGTTCCCATAGCAGCAAATGCGGGCCCTTCCCCAACCTCCCAACTTCCGCCCACGGATAAAGCACCAGGAGGTCGACTTTTACGTTTTATTTCAAAACAAAAGTTGAAAACAGACAAAATAGGGCCATACCAAGGGTCAAAAAGGAAGAATAAACTAGAAGGGTAGGTAGCACTGGCATAGAAATGAAAAGAATATAAAACTAGAAGCCTCTGGATAAAGAGAAAAACGTACAAAATGTGTTTTGAGTATAAATTAAATATATCCTGTTGAAGACAAGTGGACGCAAGCAAGCACTCACCACCCAAAAAAATGTTTTGGGACAGGGACCCCAGTGTGAGGGCTCGGGCTGCGGAAACAGCCACCCTCCAGGCTGGAAGCTGTCCCGCGAATGCTCTCCCGAGGCGAGGCGCAGGGCGCCAGCCTCCAGCGGAAGTCCCACTCCGCCCTCTCGGGTACCTGCTCTTAGTCCTCCAGCTCCCAGGCAGGAGGTGACCTCCGCTGCTGCCACTCCCCCCCCCCCCCCCCGTGAGACCCAACTGAAGGATTCCCACTGAGGAAGACTAACGAGCGAAGAGTCTCCAAGACGACGCTCCAGAAATAAAAATGCCCAGAGGTGGGCTGCATCTGCTCACGGAGGCAAGGAGAGAGCTCACCACGTGCCCGTGCCCCCTGTTGACCGGGGAAACTGAGGTAGATGCGGAACGAGGACAAAGGCGTTCGGGCCTACTGGGCCGCGGCCCCGCGCGGAGCCCCCTCAGCGAGGTCAGCGAATACCCGAGGCGTGGCCGCCCGCAGGCCGGCCGCGGTGGCCCGGGGACCGTCGCGCGCCAAGCACGCAGCAAACGAGAGCGCGCAGACACGAGGGTCCGCTCGCGCTCTGCGGGGCCTCCACTGCGCGGCGGGGGAGGGGGGGCGCGCTGCTTTGAGGAGGGACCGTGGGGCCGGGCCTAGGCGAGCCCCGAGCCCGCCGTCGGGGAGCCCGCATCCCCGTTCCAGCCCGGCCTCTTAAGTACCTTCTGGCGCGGAGGGAGCCCACGCGGGTGGCGCTGGCGGGGCGGAGCGAGCCGCGGGCACCCCCGGGGGAGGGGCTGCGCCGAGTGGCCCGGGAAGCCCGGGAGGAAGCCCGGAGGGTTGGTGGGCAGCGGGCGCACCCCGCCCTGCACACGTCCTCCTGCGCCGCTGCCAAGGGCTGCTGCCTCGCCGGCCACCGGGCCGCCCCGTCGGGGCAGATCTTCAAATTCTTTGGTTAAAAACAGTCTTAAAAAATCCCCTCTCCCCGCCGTCATTCCCACAGCCCCCCCCCCCCCCCCCCGCTGCCCACAGCCTCTCCAGAGTCGCTCAGCCCGGGGCGGCCCTCCCCTCGGCGCGGGGACCAGTCAGGACTCGGACACGGAGGGCCAGGCCGGCCCTGAGCCCCGTCGAGGCCCGGGTCCTAAGACACGGCTCGGACACTGTGGCGGAAAACAGACCCCCCGCGGCGCTCTGGGAGTCGTGCGCGCACGTGACCGTGTGACGAGCGGGGCTGGGGCTGGGGCTGGGCCTGGGCGCGGCGCGGACGGGCCGCGGAGCCCAGCGAGAAGCCCGAGCGCAGGGTGAAGAGCGCAGCGCGCCCGCTCGGCGGCCACGGCGCTGCCGGCCAACAGCTCACCGCCCAGGACGGCCGCCCCGCCTCTGCCGTCCCCCCCTCAGTCACGTCAGCAGCTGGTAGAAGTGGCCTAACTAGGGGAGAAACAGGAGCGGAACCGAAAACCCCCAAAAAGAAGCTCTACAGGGTCGTAACTACCGCAAAGTACTTGAGACTCGCCGAGGCTTCCCGAGCCCAAAGCCGTCCAAGCCGGAAACACCCAACACACCCCTTAGAGTCCCAGGAGAGGAACACACGGAGGGGAACTTCACGAGTTAAAACAAAACAAAGCAAAATCCTGGCCATTTACAGACAAAAAAAAAAAAAAAAACAAAACTAAAACACACAATAGAATGAAGAGTTGGGGGGGGACACAGTTAAAAAATACCCACAAAATAGTTCTGGGGGGCAAAGGGGAGGCAGGAGTCACGCGAAGGAGAGTTTCCATACCTGAAGGTCCCCACGGCACTAAACCCCACAGCAGGCGCCTCCAAACTAGCCATCAATGAGCAGGACATCGGATTTCTCTCTTTCAAGGTCACTGACAAGAAATATATGGTCTACTTTCCTCACCGGGGCTGGAGACTCAGAAACAAGAGTTATTTGCCCCCCCCCCCCCAAAAAAAGAGTTACTTGCCCAGCCAAACCCTTCTAGAAAGTGACTGGATTCGGGGTTGCTCTACAGGGTATAAGTGCTTCCCGAGGCTGCAGGGAGGATCCATGAGAAAATGAGTAGTGGCAATTATGTCCTTTCCGCCTTGCACCCTCCCCGTACCCACTGCCCCTGCCCTGGGATTGTACAAAAGGGGCAGGGGGCACGGGGACTCTCACTTCCAGGACGAGTGGAAGGGGAGGGAAGGCCGGGCACAGCCCCGGGCCGGGGACCGCGGCACCACCTCTCCTCCCTCCGTAGCATCTCCTTCCTCTCCCACTGGCCAGCACCCTGCCAGCACCCGTTTCTCCATTCTCTCCCTTGGGTTTCCTGACTGGGAAAAAAGCACCTGACTTCGAAGTGGAGGGGGCAGGGCTGGGAGTGCACCAGGCGGGACTGGGAAAAGACCGCTGCGCTCTTCCTTCCAGGTGGGCGCTGCCCCTTCCAGGCGGGCGAGGGCCTTCTCCTGTCTCCAGCGGCCTCACACTCGCAGGAGGTGGAGCTCACAGGTTCTAGAGGATTGCTGGTCTTGTAACTAACGAGCTGGGGTTTACTGTCCTTTTCTATCCTAGCGCCCTGTTATCCTTCCACAAGAAGGAAAATCACTTTTGATGTCCTGGTTCCCTGGAAAAGGGATCCAAACATCTGGGCGGAGCAGGCTGCCCCGGACAGTTACAGAGCTCGGTCCTTTTCCGGCCTGGAACAGCGCACCACACAGAACATGGCCCACGCCTTGATCCCGCCGACCTGTGTGCGTGTGGCAGGTGCACAAGCCCACAGCCTTCCAAGGACAGCTCTGGCTGCATGCAGAGGTACCCAAGGCCACAGCCTGGGGAAAACTCAAGGACCCCGGTTCTGTCCCTCTCAACAAGTTACACTGAGTGTCAAAAGGCGCTGCGTGTCCAGGGTCAGGGTGAGACTTTACCGAGTAACCCGGTACAGGAGGCAGTACCACCACTGCCTACATCAAGGTTTCCCAAGTGCGCACTGATATCTTGAGCTAAATAATTCTTTGTGGGGGGAGTTGGGGAGGTCGCGTGCGGTAGGATGTTTAGCATCCTTGGTCTCTGCCACTAGATGCCAGTAGCGCACAGCCCTCACCCCCAGGCAAAGCAATCAAAAATGTCTCTAGAGATTTCCAAGTGGCCTCTAGGGGACAAAACCACTTTCCCGAGAAGCACTGGTCTAGATGAAGCAGCTGATCTTCCACAGTGGGGAAGGAGCCTAGTGGGTTTGGCACGGTCATAACTGCAAAGGTTCATCTGAGCACAGCAACGTGTGACAGGGAAAACAGGGGCCCTGGGACCCAGGGCAGAAGGAGATCCTCCAGGAAACAGGAAGGCAGGGATTCCTGAAAAGCGGTCGCTGGAGAAGACACTTCCTCAGATGGCGCTGGCCTCAGTGGTGAGAATTAGTCAGAAGTCAGGAAGTCCGCCCTCCTGGAGCTTGTCAGGGAAGACCTAGTCTTCATCTAAATTTGGCTCAAGGACGGCTCCCAAGGGCCGTAGGAGTGTCTCTTCAACGAGCCCACATCATATCTCTGCTTCCCGAAGGCAAGTCTGGCCTCTTCTCCCAGGATGTGGCACAGGGAGGAAGGGAAAGCCACTTCCACTGCCTGCTTAGCTTTCTACCTGTTCCTCACCCAGCCCCCCAAAGTCTGTACAAAATTTCGTTCAAAAAAGAAATTCACAAAATTAAAAACCGTATAAAGGAAAGTAGGCAGGCTTTGCTATAGAGAAAAGAGAACAGTCTGGATGAGAGAAAGAAGGCATAAAATGTGTGAAGAGGAGAGGTGATGTGTGAGCTAAGAGCTTTATAAGACAGAAAATTTTGTCTGCATCATCTCCCCCCGCACACACCCCAAAACAAGCCCGTAACGCAGCTGCGCAGAAGGGCCCACCGTAGGACTCCTTCATCATGTTCTACAACTGCACTTTTCTTAAAAAAAGAAATAAAAATTTTTAAAGCCTCCCCAGGCAAGTCCAACACGTCAAAAACTGTTTTTCATAAAGATGGGAAGAAGCTCCAGGCACTACGTCTCTTTGGGATAAGGAAAGAGTATATTGCAGTTAAAAACAAAATATTAAAACTTTCTTTGCAAAATAAAGAAAAAAGAAGTTCTTCTGATCTCCTTGAATGCAGCACGCACAAAAAGTGACGGTCACCCCCAGGCTCCCTCAGGAATGGAGGAAGAAGAAGGGGGCAGGAGTGCAGAGATTTCGTTCTCCAGGCCCAGGCCTGTGAACAACACTGCCCACGTGTTAGTCCTTAGCAGGGTCTGTGGCTCTCTATTCCCAGTCGGCCCTCGAGTCCGGGAGCACCAGCATTTCCAATAATTCATTTGTCCAAGCACACCTCAGAGACATTGTGGGGTCGGTTCCAGACCACTGCAACAGAGCAAATTTCACAGTAAAGCAAGTTGAATGAAATTTTTGGCTTCCCAGTGCATACAGAAAGTAGGTTTGTTAAACTGTAGCCTATAAGTGTGCAAGAGCAGTAGGCCTAAAAAATAACACACACACAGTAACTCAAAAATATTTTACTGCTAAAACTGTTAACCGTCACCTGAGCTTTCAGCAAGTCATAGTATCTGATCACAGATCACTATAACAAATGTAATAAAAAATTTGACATGGGGACACCTGAGTGGCTCAGCGGTTGAGTCTCTGCCTTCGGCCCAGGGAGTGATCCCAGGGTCCTGGGATCGAGTCCCACCTCAGGCTCCCTGTATGGAGCCTGCTTCTCCCTCTGTCTGTGTCTCTGCCTCTCTCTCTCTCTCCGTGTCTCTCATCAATCAATCAATCAATCAATAAAATTCTTAAAAATTTTTTTTGACATGTATTTTTAAATATTTTATTTACTTGAGAGAGAGAGCACACATGCGCACGCACACACAGGTGGAGGGATAGAGGGAGAGGGAGAGACAGACTCACTGCCGAGCAGGGAGCCCAACTCTGGGAGGGCTCGATTCCAGGACCTGGGGATGATGTCCTGAACCAAAGGCAGATGCTTAGCATTCTACTAGTTCTACTGATGGAATCACCAAGGCACCCCAAAATTTGACATTTTGAGAATTACCCAAATTGACACAGAGATACAAAGTGAGTAAATGCCAATGGCGCTAATAGACTTGCTCAAAGCAGGGTTGCCACAAACCTTCAATTTGTTAAAAAATAAATAAATAAATAAATATATATATATATATATATATATATATATATATATATATATATATATATATTTGCAAAGCTCAGTAAAGTACAAGCCAAAGAGGCCTGCCTGTAGTCCCCTGGGGAGGAGAACCCTCAAGGAGGCATAAAGCAGGGAGAGGGGGTGGGTGGGGCGACCAACAGGGGACCCATCTGGCTTCAGGCTGCCTCAGCCTGGCTCTCACCACTGTTACTTGTTGAACTGGAAGGAGTAGAGCCCATGGTCCGAGGGAGCATCCACCGGCACTGGGTTCTGCTGGCCGCCGCTCTCCTGCACCACAGCCAAGGCACAAGGGTCAAGCTGTGCGATCCTTCTGGCCCTTCCCACTAAAGCAGCCTAGCGAAAACCCACCCAGAGTTAGGTGTCCTCTCCGACCTCCTCCCACCCACACTCCTGTGTGAGAGCACACATGCACGCACACATGCAGGCACCCATGCGCTGCAAACCCCCCCCACCCCCAGCACTTGGACCACCCTCTCCCCTCCGAGAGGAGAGGAGAGGAGAGGAGAGGAGAGGAGAGGAGAGGAGAGGAGAGGAGAGGAGAGGAGAGGAGAGGAGACGCTCTTCAGTACAAGCCGGCATGAACTCTTTCCTTCCTCCTTTCACCCAATCCCTAGCAGCTGACTGAGCGCACACGATCAGCATCACCATTAGAGGAAGATCTGGATTGGGGGTGGGAGGGGCATGTCTGCCTCTCTTCAGCCTCCTACCCTCGATTCAAAGAGAGTAAAAAGCTCTCACCTCAGCAGAAACACTGGAAGCAGCCACGGGGGCATACTGGGAGATGTAAGCTCCTGGCACAGTGGCGGCCGGCGGCAGGTACTGGAAGGAAAACCATCTGGGGCTCAGGGCGGGGATGTGACTCTGGGCTACTTAAAGCACCTGGGGAGCTCTGGAAACTACTGAGGCCTACGTTTCATTCCAGAGAGTCGAATTTAATTGTCCTTTCGCAGAGCACTTCCAGTGGTCCTAAAGTGCACTGGTTTCCAGAGCCATCTGCCAGAGGACTTCCCTTCCTCCTCCGTCCTGCCTACCACATCCCCTCAGCGCACAGCCCCCTCCACTCCCCTGTGCTCTCCTGTGCACGGCCCAGTGCAGCCAGCCTAAGAGAAAGCTCCCGAGCTTCATTCTTCTCACGATTTTGGTAAGGATTTCTAGGAAATGTGTGTGAGCTCCTGGGGAAACTGCTGTGTAGACAGAAGCACCGTTTATTTTGGTTGTGAGTAGGAATCCGTTAAAGGCGTGAGCTGAGCAGCGCAATGGCTGCACTCTGTTCATCTTCTATTCTGAGTCTGAGCGCACCTTCAGTGACACTAAAGTGAATGACACCCTTGTTCACAAGTATTTATGCCCAAAAGCATTACACAGGTACTCCTTGCTCAGTCTGAGTCTAGAATCAGAAATATCCTGCTTTACCGTGCCTGTGCTGCTGAGAGAGAGGTGCCCCAGTTGCTGGGTAAGAGGTCCCATCATGGAGGCAGGCTGGAGAGAAATGGGGTGATCCATCCCTGGCGGCAGAATGGAGCCCTGGAGGCAGCAACAAAGGACAGGGTTAGGGGGCAGCATCCTGTGAAGCTGCCTACAGTGGTGATTCAAGCCTACAGGGACCACCAAAGACAGACATTTAAAAGTCCTGAGAAATAACAGGTGGGTAGCAACCCAGCTGTGCAATAGAAACAGGTGTCTGCCTACCTGTGTGGAGGAATCCTTGTCTAAGAATAACAAACCGAGAGAATTTCAGGTCATACAGCTGGGTTGCACAACGGACTGAACCAGAACTCACACCCACGTCAGCTATCATGAGATTCCATTGTTTTCCTTTACATCAAACTGCCTTATGGCTTTTGCCCACTTCTGAACACTCACTGAAGGCTGCATGAGGTATGACTGGTGGTGCATCCAAGATGGGTTAGGTACTTGGAGAGGAGATGTCTGAGTTACTCTCTAATGGAAACAAAAGAAACAGACAAAAACATTAATTGCCTAGAAACTACTGTTTCTCCCAGTGATTTGATGATGTTCAGCAAAACCCCAAAGAAGTTGGAGTACCCCCTCACAAAACAGAAACATTAAGAATAAACTCTTTAAAAAATATTAGCAACTCTTACATGTCAACAAATAACCTAATTTGAAAATGGGCAAAGTGGGACGCCGGGGTAGCTCAGTGGTTGAGCGTCTGCCTTTGGCTCAGGGCGTGATCCCAGCGTTCTGGGATTGGAGTCCCACATCAGGCTCCCTGCAGGGAACCTGCTTCTCCCTCTGCCCGGTGTCTTTGCCTCTCTCTCTGTGTCTCTCATGAATAAATAAATAAAATCTTTTAAATAGAAAAGAAAAAGAAAACGGGCAAAGGATAGGAACAGATACCTCTCTAAGATATATAAAGGGCCAACAAGCACATGAAAGAGGCTCAACATCATTAGTCACTAGGGAAATGCACATTAAAACCATGATGAGAAACCACTTCATCCCTAGTAGGATGGCTATAATTAAAAGGACAGCTCCTTGCTCACCAGGGAGTCTGCTGGAGATTCTCTCTCTGCCTCCCCCTCCCCCTCAACTCACTCTCCCTCTCTCTCTAAAATAAATACATCTTTAAAAAAATAAAGGACAGAATAACAAGTGTCATACACTGTGGGCGGGAATGTAAAATGGTGCAGCAGCTCTGGAAAAGTTTGGCATTTCCTCAGAAAGTTAAACCTAGAGTTCCTATGTAACCCAGCAAGTCCACTCAGGGATGTATATACCTAAGAGAAATGAAAACATGTGTTGACACAAAAACTGTACACAAATATTCAAAGCAGCATTATTCTAATGGCCAAAAGGTGGAAACAACTCAAACGGCCATCAACTGCTAAGTTGATAACAAACTAGTATAGTCACACAATGGAAGGTGACTGATTTAGTCATAAAAAATAATGAAGTACTGCTATGTGCTACAACATGAGTATACCTTGAAGATGCTGAGTGAAAGAAGCCCGACACCAAGACATATGCTGTATATATTTTGATGGATTCCTGTCTCACATTTATTAATTTATTAAACAAACAAGGAAAAAACCCCATTAAAATAGAGTCTAGATAGAAACTACTTACATTTATTAAAGGCTAGTACCAAAACCTAGCTGTTAACATTAACCTAATCAAAGAAATATTAAAACCACTGCATTTATAATAATATCTTATAGTAGGATCAAATACAATTAGATAAGAACACAACTGGCACAAAATTGGAAAGGAAGAGAAAACTATAATCTTTGCACTGCAGACAGAACTATATACCTAGAACTAGTAAAAAAAAATGCAAGTATTAATAAGGATTTGGTACATTAGCTGCATACAAGATAGACGAACATAAACCAGTAACTTTTCTTCAGCGTATCCATAAGCATCTCAAAAAGCTTAAACATTTAGGAATATATTCAAAAAGAAACGCATAAGACCTAGATAAACAACAGTAACATCTTATCAAAGGATATTTTGAAAATATTTAAAAACATGAAAAGAAATATCAAATCTTAGGTGAAAGAATACTTCTTAAAAAGTCCAATCTCAAAAACAACAACAACAAAAAGTCCAGTCTCAGGATGCCTGGGTGGCTCAGTGGTTAAGCGTCTGCTTTCAGCCCAGGGCGTGATCCTGAAGTCCAGGGATCGAGTCCCACGTCAGGCTCCCTGCATGGAGCCTGCTTCTCTCTCTGCCTATGCCTCTGCCTCTCTCTCTGTGTTCCTCATGAATAAATTTTTTTAAAAAGTCAATTCTCAGGGTGCCTGGGTGGCTCAGTCAATTGAGCACTCAACTCTTGGTTTTAGCTCAGGTCATGATCTCAGTGTCACTGGGTCCAACCCCACATGGGGCTCTATGCTCAGCACAGAGTCTGCTTCAGATTCTGTCTGTCTGTCTGTCTGTCTGTCTGTCTGTCTCTCTCTCTCTCTCCCTCCTCTGTCCTTCTCCCCCACTAAAATAAATATAAATCTTTTAAAAGAAGTCAATTCTCAAATATGGTGAAAATGTCTATGCTACCCAGAGCAATTTACACATTCAATACAAACCTATCAAAATACTATGCACTTTCTTCACAAAGTGGGAACAAATAATACTAAGATTTGTATAGAACCAGAAAAGACCTCAAATAGTCAGAGGAATGTTGATAAAGAAAACCAAAGCTGTACTACAAAGCTGTGATCATCAAGACAACATGGTACTGGCACAAAAACAAGACACATAGATCAATGGAACAGAATAGAGAACTCAGAAATGGGCCCTCAACTCTATGGTCAACTCATCTTGAACAAAGCAGGAAAGAATATCCAATGGAAAAGGACAGTCTCTTCAATTAATGGTGCTGGGAAAATGGACGGCCACGTGCAGAAGAATGCAACTGGACCACTCTCTTACACCATACACAAAGATACACTCAAAATGGATGAAAGATCTAAATGTGAGACGGAATCCATCAAAATCCTAGAGGAGAACAGAGGCAGCACCCTTTCTGACCTTGGCCACAGTAACTTCTTGCATGATACATCTATAAAAGCAAGGGAAATAAAATCAATAATGAACTATTGGGACTTCATCAAGATAAAAAGCTTCTGCACAGCAAAGGAAATAGTCAATACAACTAACAGGCAACCTACAGAATGGGAGAAGATATTTGCAAATGACATATCAGATAAAGGGCCAGTATCCAAGATCTATGAAGAACTTATCCAACTCACACGCAAAAAACAATCCAGTCAAGAAATGAGCAGAAGACATGAACAGACATTTCTCCAAAGACAACCTACGCATGGCCAACAAGCACATGAGAAAATGCTCCGCATCACCGGCCATCAGGGAAATACAAATCAAAACCACAATGAGATACCACCTGACACCAGTGAGAATGATGAAAATTAACAAGACAGGAAACAACAAATGTTGGAGAGGATGTGGAGAAAGAGGAACCCTCTTGCACTGTTGGTGGGAATGCAAGCTGGTGTGGCCACTCTGGAAAACTGTGTGGAGGGTCCGCAAGAAGTTAAAAATAGGGCAGCCCCGGTGGCTCAGTGGTTTAGCGCCTTCTTTAGCCCAGGGTGTGATCCTGGAGTCCCACGTCAGGCTCCCTGCATGGAGCCTGCTTCTCCCTCTGCCTAGGTCTCTGCCTCTCTCTCTCTGTGTCTCTCATGAATAAATAAATGAAACCTTTAAAAAAAAAAAAAAGAAGTCAGAAATGGAGCTACCCTTGACCCAACAATTGTACTACCGGGTAATGAAAGTCACAAATGTAATGAAATGATGGGACACCTGCACCCCAAAGTTCATAACAGCAATGTCCACAATAGCCAAACTGTGGAAGGAGCCACGATGTCCCTCAACAGATGAATGGATAAAGAAAATGTGGTCTATATATACAATGAAATATTACTCAGCCAAATATTACTCAGAAATAAAAAAATAATAATAATAAAATAAAACAACAAAATAAATCTTGGAGACTATATGTATAATATAGGGACTGAGAAGACCTTTTATTTATTTTTATTTTTTTTTAAAGATTTTATTTATTTATTCATGAGAGACACAGAGAGAGAGAGAGAGGCAGAAACACAGGCAGAGGGAGAAGCAGGCTCCATGCAGGGAGCCTGATGCGGGACTTGATCCGGGGCTCCAGGATCATGCCCCAGGCCGAAGGCAGGTGCTAAACCACTGAGCCACCCAGAGATCCCCCAAGACCTTTTTAATTAAGAAATTTAAAAGCTTTAGTGGAAAAGCAGACATTTGATTATACATAAATTTTAAACTTTTGTGTCTTTTTGTGGTGAAAATTAGTGATTCCCAAAGTATGTTCCCTGGATTGGCAGCAGCAGCATCTGGGAAACAGAAATACAAACTCTTGTCTCTTGGCCTAGACTTACTGAATCAGAAATTCCTGTGGGGGCACTTGGGTGGCTCAATGACTGAATGTCTGCCTTTGGCTCTGGTCGTGATCCTGGGGTCCTGGAATGGAGTCCAGCATCAGGCTCCCCAGGGAGCCTGCTTTTCCCTCTGCCTATGTCTCTGCCTTTCTCTCTGTCTCTCATAAATAAATAAAATCATAAAAAGAAAAAAAAAGAAATAATTTGTGTTTGATAAGCTTTCCATGTGATTCTGATACACAGCTCAAGTTTGAGGATCACAACACAAAGTCAATGGACAAAAATTAAGTCTGAAAAAAGTATCTGTAAGAAATATAACATTAGAGGATTAATACTTTAACAATATACAAATGCTTTTTTATAAGTTGATGGGAAAAGAATAACCAAACAGAAAAATGGGCCAAGCATATGGAGAGCAATCAGAGAAGAACAAATCAAGCTATGACAAACATAAAAAGATATGCTTAAACTCAGCTATAGTCAAGGAAGTGCAAATTAAAGTAACAATGACTAAAAAAATAAAAATAAAAAAAAGTAAAGTAACAATGTACTTCATAACTATCAAGGTAAGGAAAACTTAAAAAGACCATCATGTCACTTATGGCTGGAGGGAAATGACCACTCTCATACATTGCTAGTAGAAATGTGAAGTGACACAGCCTTTGTGGAAAGCAATCTGGCAACATCTGTAAAACTGAAAGTCCATATATTAGTCAACCTAGCAATCCCACTCCTTGGACTCTAGCCCCCAGAAATAACAATACTTATATTTAAGGATGTAGGCATAAAGATCTCTACATATGAGTGGTTTTACTGAGCTAGAGTCCAAGGGGTGGGACTACTAGGCTGAATAATATATGGATGGAAGTATTATTTGTACCAAAACTCCCTGAAATCCAAGTGAATTCCCTTCACTGAGGTAGAGGTGAAGAATTCTAGTCAACCTGCATCATGAAATATAATGCAACTCTTTAAAAATGAAATAACTAAAGGGCGCCTGGGTGGCTTAGTCGGTTAAGCAGCTCCCTTCAGCTCAGGTCATGATCCGGGGTCCTGGAATCCAGCCCGGCATTGGGCTCCCTGCTAGGCAGAGAGCCTGCTTCTCACTCTGCCTCTGCTATTCCCCCTGCTTGTGCACACATGCTCTCTCTCTGTCAAATAAATAAAATCTTAAAAAAAAAAATTAAAGAAAAAAAATCTCAACATGAGCTACATCAGAATCACCTGGAGGGCATGTTAAAAAACTCAGCTTGCTGGTGGGGTGGTGGGGGCACAAGATGGATGAAACAGGGAGAGGGGATTAAGAGATACAGACTAGCAGGTGTAAGATAAGTAAGTCACAGGGATGGAAGGTATAGCACAGGGAATACAGTCAATAATACTGTAATAACTCTGTATGATGGCAGATGGTGATGGTGACTACAAAAAAACAGATTGCTGGGACCCATCCGCCGAGTTTCTAATTCAGCAAATTTGGAGTGGAATCCAAGAATTTATGTTTTTTTTGAAATTCCCAGGTGATACTGCTAGTCCAGGCACCAAACTTTGAGAATCACTGGTTTAAGACATTGTTAAGTGGGAGAGTGAAGCATACAAAATATATTTAATTTGGACAGATTTTTGTAAAATAAACAACTTCTAAACCCGTATAAATATGTGTATATGCACATAAAGAAAAATATAGAATTTTCTGAAACATATGGAATAATAGGAAATTTAAAATATAATATAGATTTACTTTGGGGTGGTGGACAGAGACTAAGAAGATGCTACCACAACAGCCCATATATATGTAATGTGATCACATGTTATGCTTTCATGTAAAATTATCCGTGGGCAATAAGTATAAAGGAAAAACTAAAAAATAAGTAGTTTCTAGCCTTACATTCCTTTACCTATAAAGCACAGTGATAGGGAAAACCATCACACCCTTTTTTCAGCATGAACATACCTGATACGAAGACACAGGAGATGGAAGATACGGGGAGAGCGCAGACTGAGCAAGCATCCTGTTGGGGGTGATGTTATAAGGAGCCGGGTAAAACCTGGAGGAAGGAACCTCATCAGTAAGGAGTTACAGGAAGCCCCAAAGTAAGGCCCCATGGACAGACACAGGCACTTCCTACTAACTGCTGTTTAAAAATCAAGGTGAAATATCCCAGTGCCTGGGCAGGCTGTTGTCATTTTCAGGTAGCCCAATTCTATAAAACATCCTTACCCATTCTGAAGAGCTGTGGTGGGGTCATAGGTCAAGGCCATACCACCCTATAAAGGAAGAACATAGTATTCATATTGTGAGCCCTTGGGGAGAATAGAAGGAAGCCCAGTGTCAAGATTGGGACATATTTGATTCAACAGATTAAAATGAAGTCTGGACAGGTTCTACTACTGCTATTCCAGAGTTTTTCTGGTTGTGCAGGCTGCACAATCCCACTAAATACTCACACTGAAGATCATGTTAGGCAGTGAGCCATCTCTCACTTACTGTAACTTTCAAGCTTGCCACTTCAACTCACAGAAATCGGGCCATGGTATTTTTCCATTCCACTCTAATGTCCTCAGTACTCCTGTCTCCTCAGAGGTCCTCTTACCATATCTCCATTCCTTGGCCAGGCCCGTCCATTTTGCACATATTTCCCTTGGTTCTGTCGTTTCTTTGGACCACCATCAGCAAATTTGCAAAGCAAGGGATCAGATGGGGCTGCCAAGAAAGAAAGCAAACAGATCCCACCTCGCTTAGTCCACTTACAGTCATGCAAAACATGTCCAGAATCTTCATTGGAAGTAACAACCTATGGTTCTCTCAGCCTGATTCCCAGATGCCTCACCTGGTACTCCAGCAGGTGTCTTAATATATTTTCCATTAAAATGGGTGATGATGGCTTCACACTTCTCTGTGGACTCCATCCTACGGAGCACAAGAGGGGTTAGGCTCTAGCTTCTCCAGGATCTGTGCTCCCCTACATTCAAAGAGAAAGCTCTAAGTTCCCAGCCCACAAATGCTCCAAAAGTTGTGACTATATAAACAGTTTCCTCCACACAAATTCAAGGTATCTTGAAGAGGTAACTCTAGCTTCTAATGAAAGTTACCTCAACTGACTCCTGTAGGGCTCCTGAATGGAAAAATTAAGCTATGAATATTCCAAAGAAGACATTGATGGATGGGCCTACTATTAGGTCTGGTTCATAAACAAGAATATAATAAATAGTGGCTGTCACTAGTATTTTTTTTTTAAGTAAGCTCTATGCCCAGTGTAGGGCTTGAACTCACAACCCTGAGATCAAGAATCGCATACTCTACTCACTGAGCTAGCCCGGTGATCCATGTCACCATTATTTGTTACTACAAAATTCCTAATGGAAATTGTTCCTTCACTCCAATAAAACCACACAAGCTAAAAACGTGCCAGTGTTTCTTTTTTTTTGCTTCTGGTTTTGATTATCAAGTACTAATTAGCTACTGATAATATTAAGATTTCATGAAACTATAGGAGGAAAGAGTGGTAAGACAGAGTTCATGGTCTATAGTGATAGAAACAATGTTGCAAACTATGGAGTTAAAGTGTCATATTGGGGGGACGCCTGGGTGGCTCATTGGTTGAGCTGCTGCTTTCGGCTCAGGGCGTGATCTTGGAGTCCCAGGATCGAGTCCCACATCGGGCTCCCTGCATGGAGCCTGCTTCTCCCTCTGCCTGTGTCTCTGCCTCTCTCTGTGTGTCTCTCAGGAATAAATAAATAAAATCTTTAAAAAAAAATAAAGTATCTTGTTGTGGAAAGACAACTGAGTAAGGAATCAGAAAATCTAGATTCCTGTACCAAGTCACTATCCCAAGTTCTGTGAGTTAGGACCTGCACAAAGACCCACCGGACCCATTCTTCATTTCTGTTAGATGTGACGTCCATCTACCCTACTATAGATCAAATGAGATCATGTATTTAAATGTGTTCTAAAAATTAGAAGGCTCTATATGACACAAGGTACAGTATTTTCCCCTTATTTATTTATTTATATTTAAAATTTTAAATTTATTTATTTGAGAGAGGGAGAGACAGAGAGAGCAGAAACCACAAGGGGAGAGAGAGAGAGATGCAGACTTCCCACTGAGCAGAGAACCTGATACAGGGCTCAATCCCAGGACCCCAAGATCATGACCTGAGCTGAAGCCAGACCTAAACCTACTCAGCCACTCAAGCACCTCTCCCTCTTTCCATATTTATTTTTTTCTTTCCATATTTAAATTAAGTCTCAGTATATTGTCTAAGCCAAGAACTACTAAAAATATGAGCCAGTGCTATGAAGGTGGTCACTAAAAAAAAGGCCTTAAATGGAACCTTTTAGGGAAAGGTATCACAGGCTAGGTATCCCAGAGCAGAAGTCTTTAGTTGGGTTACTTCTACTCCTTAATCTTCCAAAAGCGTGAGCAGGCATGGGGAGTTTTAAAGAAACTGCCTGCAGAATCTTCGCTTCCTCATAAGCCCTTTCCTAAAACTGGCAGGCCTGAGGAGAGCTCATGCTCACTGACGGTTCAGCCCTCTCACAGCCACTGCTCTGCCCTTACTTCGCCCTATCCCCAAACTCAACATGAGGCGATGATGCCTGACTTTTAAGTCTTTTTTGAGTCAGATGTTTCTAATTCTTCCAACAAGCTGAACGATACAGCAGGTTAACTGACACATAAAAAAACAAAATCAGTTTTGACACACTGATTACCTTGGATCTTGGCTTATAACTGAGGAGGAATTCAATGAATTCCCATTTTCGCAAAACTCTTCCTATTCCCATTTACTTATATATGTGAATAAGGTTTCTCAGCATGAAGACACAAAACAAGAACAGAACTGATATTATAGCAATAAACAATAGTCATTGATGTCTATGTGACCTAATTAGAAAAACCTAAACAAAATAAAATTTATCCATGTCATAGGAGTAAGATTTTCCATGACATTTACTTTATGTGTACAGTCCTGTAACCAGAGGTAAAATGTCTCATTTATTGTATATACATATTTTTGTTGCAGATAAGTATGAAACAATGATCCATAAAAAGACTTTCAGCTATAAAAATATTTTATACTCGAATATAATTCTGTAAGGAAATGGAATGAATATACAAGATCAGGAGCAAAAAAGGAATACTATACAGGACGCCTCAGTGGCTCAGCGGTTGAGCGCCTGTCTTCGGCCCAGGCCATGACCCTGGAGTCCCAGGATGGAGTCCCACATTGGGTTCCCTACAGGGAGCCTACTTCTCCCTCTGCCTGTGTCTCAGCCTTTCTCTCTGTGTTTCTCATGAATAAATAAAATCTTTTAAAAAAAGGAATAGTATAACAAAAAAGGATATGAGTTATGTCTATTAAAAAGAAATATCCTAAAAAAAAAAACTATCCTAAGTATTTTTTTTTTTAATAACAAAATACATGGGGCTTGAACTCATGATGACCCTGATATCAAGAGTCAGATGCTTGGTCCACTGAGCCACCCAGGTGCCCTGCCTTAAGTTTTTTTCTTTTTTTAAGATAAATGGATTTTTTTTTAAGATTTTATTTATTTATTCATGAGAGACACACACACACACGGAGGCAGTGAGACAGGCAGAGGGAGAAGCAGGCTCCATACAGGGAGCCCGATGTGGGACTCGATTCCAGGACTCCAGGGTCACGGCCTGGGCCGAAGACAGGCGCTCAACTGCTGTGCCACCCAGGGATCCCCCGCCTTAAGTATTTTTAAATGGATAGTTTTGTGTATCAAATTGCTAGGATATTTCGATCTATTTGGATACACTTATAAACAACATGACAGTTTTATTTAAAAAGTCATTATTTGTAATTGTTGAAAATTCTACTTTGCAGGATCTACATGTATAAGAAAATATATAGGTAGCATTTTAGGAACATGCAAGAGATTTCATAGGTTTTCAAGTCTTCAAAGCCAGTTTCCAAACTGGGCTCTGAGGCACCCCGTGCCACTGTGGTGAGCTCACAGGGGCAGATACAGGGGATTTTTATAACATTCTGAAGAAAATACAGTAACATCTATTGAATACCATGCAGACTATCAACTCTGAACAGCTTACCATTTCAACATCAGACCACCCTACAGTCCTTTTGATAACATTTTTTGTAAAGCTGGTTTTTCCACAGTTGCTATGACAAAAGCAAATACCGTAAGGAAACCAAAATGTAACAAGAAATGAGGGTGTAAGTACCCAATCTGATTCCAAGGTTTGAGAAGTTATGCAGTGTTCAACAGATGCACATCCCATTAGTAAGTATAGTTACTTAAGAATGGAATAAAAATCTTTTTTCTTTTTTTTTTTTAAAGATTTTATTCACTTATTTACTTAGAGCATAAGCGAGTGCAAGTGAGCAAGCGAGAGGGGAGAGGAGCAGAGGGAGAGGGACAAGTAGATTCTATGATGAACAGAGAGCCCGACACGGGGCTGGATTTTACAACCCTGAGATCATGACCCGAGCCAAAATCAAGAATCAGACTCTTGACTCAGGTGCCCCTCTTGTTTTTTTTTTTTTTTAGAATTCTTTTTTTTTTAATTTTTTTATTTATTTATGATAGTCACAGAGGGAGAGAGAGAGAGGCAGAGACACAGGCAGAGGGAGAAGCAGGCTCCATGCACCGGGAGCCCGATGTGGGAATCGATCCCGGGTCTCCAGGATGGCGCCCTGGGCCAAAGGCAGGCGCCAAACCGCTGCGCCACTCAGGGATCCCTTTTTTTTTTTTAAAGATTGTATTTATTTATTCATGATAGACAGAGAGAGAGAGAGAGAGAGAGAGAGAGAGAGAGGCAGAGACACAGGCAGAGGGAGAAGCAGGCTCCATGCTGGGAGCCCGACGTGGGACTCGATCCCAGGACTCCAGGATCATGCCCTGGGCCAAATGCAGGCACTAAACCGCTGAGCCACCCAGGGATCCCCTTGTTTGTTTTTTTTTAAAGGTATACTCTACTCCCAGTATGGGACTCGAACTCACAACCCCAGGGATCAAGAGTCACATGCTCTACTGACTGAGCCAGCCAGGTGCCTCTTAAGTATTTCTTTTGGTCTAGAGCAAAACTATTATTGACATAACTTAAGTTAGTGCCATGAATTGAAAAGGGTCGAGAACCTTTGCTTAGTGTGGGAGCCAAACACAGTGATCCGAAGTGGCATCTGCACCCCAGTGTCTAGAGCAGCAATGTCCACAACAGCCAATCTATGGAAAAAGCCCAGATGTCCATCGACAGATGAATGGATAAAGAGGATGTCGTAAGCATAACCAATGGAATACTACTCAGCATTCAAAAAAATGAAACTTACCATTTGTAACCATGTGGATGGGACTACAGGATATTATACTAAGCAAAATAAGTCAGAGAAAGACAATTATCATGATTTCCACTCATATGTGAAATTTAAGAAACAAAACAGAGGATCATAGAAGAAGGAAGGGAAAATAAGACGAAATTAGAGAGGGGGACAAAACATAAGAGACTCTGAACTATAGGGAACAAATAGGGTTGCTAGAAGGGGGTGGGTAGGGGGATGGGGTAACCAGGTGATGGGCATTAAGGAGGGCAAATAATATATAATGTGCACTGGGTGTTATATGCTACTGATGAATCACTAAATTCTACCCCTGAAACTAATAATACAGTATATGTTAATAAATGGAATTTATTTATGTTTTTAAAAAAGATTTTATTTATTTATTCATGAGAGACACAGAGAGGCTGAGACACAGGCAGAGGGAGAAGCAGGCTCCATGCAGGGAGCCTGATGCGGAACTCAATTCTGGGATTCCGGGATCACGCCTGAGCCAAAGGCAGAAACTCAGCCACTGAGCCACCTAGGCGTTCTAATTAATTGAATTTAAATTCAAAAAAGAGTGTGGGGGCAGCCCAGGTGGCTCAGTGGTTTAGCGCTGCCTTCAGCACAGGGCGCGATCCTGGAGACCCGGGATTGAGTACCACGTCAGGCTCCCTGCGTGGAGCCTGCTTCTCCCTCTGCCTGTGTCTCTGCCTCTGTGTGTGTGTGTGTGTGTGTCTCTCATGAATGAATAAATAAATAAATAAGTAAGTAAGTAAGTAAGTGTGGGACCACAAGCCTAGGAACTCTTTTAGTTATACTTGGGATTGCCAGCAGGTGGTGCTACCATGATTGAGTTAGCTAGGGAAGAGGCCCTATACCTTGTTCCCAAGATCTGAAACACTTCAGAATAAGAGTGTTCCTGGACCAGACAAGATATCATAAAACAAAATGGGACTTTTAGATCATTTATTCCAATAGTTTTCAAACGTGCAAAAAAAGCAACAGAATCTCATTTTTTTTTTTTTTACATTCATTAGAGACACTGAGAGAGAGCGTCAGAGACATAGACAGAGGGAGAAGCAGGTTCCTCGCAGGGAGCCCGATGTGGGACTTGATCCCCAGACCAGGATCACGTCCTGAGCCAAAGGCAGACACACTCAACCACTGAGCCACCCAGGTGTCCCTCACACAAAATCTTTTTTTTTTTTTCCTCACACAAAATCTTAAAAGCAGAACCATTTTTTCAGTGGGTTGGGGAGGCCAAAGCCCTACAATGACACCTCAGCTCAGAAGAGGGCGCCCTGGAGAACTCTGAAGTTCTAGGGACACCTGAAGAAAATCACTCATCTAAATCACTCTCCAGGGGATCCCTGGATGGCTCAGTGGTTTGGTGCCTGCCTTTGGCCCAGGGCGTGATCCTCGAGTCCCATGTCAGGCTCCCTGCATGGAGCCTGCTTCTCCCTCTGCCTATGTCTCTGCCTCTCTCTCTCTCACTGTGTCACTCATGAATAAATAAATAAAATCTTAAAAAAAAAAATCACTCTCCACTTCACAGAATAAACCAAGGCTCAGAAAGGTCTGGTATCAGAGAGGCACTCAGTGGCAGAGTTGGTTCCAGAATCTAAGACTCTCAAGAGAACTGAAAAGGAAGACCAAATCTTCTACTTCATCCCACTGATCTTTTTTTTTTTTTAAGACTTTTATATATTTATTCATGAGAGACACCGAGAGAGAGAGAGAGAGAGAGAGAGAGAGAGAGAGAGAGAGAGAGAGGCCAAGACACAGGCAGAGGGAGAAGAGGCTCCCTGCAGGAAACCCAACGTGGGACTCGATCCCGGGACTTCAGGACCACACCCTGGGCCAAAGGCAGCACTAAACCACTGAGCCACCCGGGCATCTTGAAGGCAGAAGGATTAGAGCTCAGTTCTACCATCCATTACTGGGGGACCTTGGGAAAATCACTTCACAGTGGGGACTTTGGTTTCCTTATCTATAAAAAAGATAAGAATTATTTTATTCTGTTTGGGTCTGGATCAAAGGAACAAACGCTAGCATAGCAAGAAATAGTGGGGAAAGGATAAAGATTTGGGGGCAAATCGGTCTTTAAGTATTGTGACCTATAGTTAAACGAATTTCTGATTCACTATCAAGTTATTTAGGCCAACACTTTGGTCCCTTGAGGAAGAGGGCACAGATTTTTTTGGTGACCTTCCAAGTGACATTCTTCATTAATCTCATTTCCCACTCTGGCATCTCTCACCTTGCAAAGCCAACCCCTCTGCTGGTCCCACTGGTGTCTCGGAGGATTCGAGTGGAGATAACTTGGCCAAAAGGCTTCAGCATCCCCTCTAGTTCTTGCTCATCCATTGACAGAGGAAGGTTTGATATGTATAAATTTGTGGGGTCCTGCTCCTGTTGCTATGGAAAAAAAGGGAAGAAATGAAACTCATATCTCTCTTTTTTTTTTTTTTTGAAACTCACATCTCTTATCCCTCTACAACCCTCAGCCCTCATCACAAATGACATCTCTGAAAAGACATAGTAGGAAGGGGGCCACATAAACCAAAGGAATCTTAACTGTTTATAACAGTCTCACTGCCGTGGATTGGACGTTGAGTCCAGGCCAAAAAAAAAAAAGAAGAAGAAGAAGAAAGCAGATTTAATATTTCTAGTACTTTAGAAGCCCATAATACAAGTCACTGATGAAGTTTTGGCTGTCTCTTTAAGAACCAGGCAGGGCAGCCAACCAACAGCCTACTCCTGGGGCTGGATTCTCTCGGACTGCACTGCTCCCCTGCTGGACTGTTTTAAGTAATCCCCCCTCCTTCCTCTTCCGGCCAGAGCAGAATCCTCTGAGTAGGAATGCCTGTTCACTCCCCAGTGGAGAGAGAGCAGGAAGAGGGAGAAGAGGAAAGGGAAGGCAATGTGCTGGGGGCTGCACCAGGGGGCAAATGTGTAGCTTACTGGGTCAGCATGCAGCCCAGAGAGCTCTAGTCTCATAGGAACTCTGAAAGCTCCTGAACTCCACTGTGAGAGGGCTTTTCTCCAGAAAGAAGAGGTTTCGGAAGAGCCCCTCCAGGGAGTAGAATAAGCAAAATGGCAAGAACTTCCCATAGCTGTATTGTTAAGAATTTAAGTAGTCACTGCCCTAGACAGGGGGTCACCAGCAAACTCCAACCCCTCTTCTGCCTTTCCCCTCAGGACTTTTAATTCTTTAACCACACAGTAAGAGGTGCCGGGTAAGCCTGCCTCATCAGCTTTTTTTTTTTTTAATTTATTTATTTATGATAGTCACAGAGAAAGAGAGAGAGAGGCAGAGACACAGGCAGAGGGAGAAGCAGGCTCCATGCACCGGGAGCCCGACGTGGGATTCGATCCTGGGTCTCCAGGATCGAGCCCTGGGCCAAAGGCAGGAGCCAAACCGCTGCGCCATCCAGGGATCCCTGCCTCATCAGCTCTATAGAGTATTCACAATGACTTCAGAAAGGCAAAGGAGCAATCCCACCTCAAAAAAGGGAGAGAAAAACCTCTGGTTTTCTAATAGTTTGGATTAAGATAAAAGCTCCAGGGAGATTCAACAAGGAAGGACAGTTTCCTTCCTTGCTTTGGCTTCCCTCTCCCCAACTCCTAACAACTCTCCTACCCCTATCTCCCTCCCTCTCCCAAACGTGCATCCAGAGAGAACAGCACTGTTCTTAACATCTGAGTTGCACAACTGGCTTCTTCAGAGAATGTTGCAAAACTACTACAAGATGTCTGGTAGGCAAGTGGGGCCAGGGTGGAAATGGGGAAACAGCAAGAGAAAGGGAAGCCTCTTGACCCTCTTATCTAATTATAATATTTGATGAGAGGAACAGAGTCTCCAGATCTAACCTGCCACAGATTTTGAAGAACATCTTCCTCTGGCAGCCAAGGGGTACTGGGACCTTGGTCCAGCCCATCTTTGGCCAGACATAGTAAAAAAAAAATACTTCAGCTAGCCCTCACCCATCAAATTCATGGCTTTAAACTCTCTGGAGGCCTTAGAACTCAAGCTCTGGTGCTAAGCACAACCCCTCTGAGGAACAGACATGGGACAGCAAGTGCCCTTACCTTTGCCATCTGTGCCTGTACACCACTGGCTTTCAGTGCTGTCACAGCTTTCTGTGCTGCTGAAGGACTGTCAAAGTCCACAAAGCCATAGCCTAGAACAGGAAAACAGCATCACTAGGAGGCGAGGGTGTAAGGGAGGTAGGAAGAAGAAGAAGAGTTTACCGAAGACAGAGGAAGAATTATGATCCATGTAATAAAAGTAGCAGGGAGAAAGAGAAATTAAGACGTTTCATGTGGTCATCCACGTACTTGTCAAATCCCATGATATTTGGTCAGTTTTACAGCTAAGAACGCCAAGGCCGATGAAGTCCTTGTGGTGTTGCCTTCCTCCTCCCCCCTTAAGAAATCTAAGGTTTCAGAAATGAGGCTCTTGGGATCCCTGGGTGGCGCAGCGGTTTGGCGCCTGCCTTTGGCCCAGGGCGCAATCCTGGAGACCCGGGATCGAATCCCACGTCAGGCTCCCGGTGCATGGAGCCTGCTTCTCCCTCTGCCTGTGTCTCTGCCTCTCTCTCTCTCTGTATGACTATCATAAATTAAAAAAAAAAGATTTAAAAAAAAAAAAAAAAGAAACGAGGCTCTTGTAATAATCCACAGCCCCCACCCCTAACAGAATTCTTTCCTGCTTTCTAGCCAAATCCCAAGAATGCTAGGAATGTAGGGAATACAGCCTCTCCACTGCAGATAGCCAGGCACCTGCAAGAAGCCTGATTCCACCCCAACAGATAGTCTTTCCTGTTCCTTCCTCTCTTCCATCCCCACTTAGAGCTGCTCAAAACCTCAACAAAGCTATTCATCCTTACAAGATAATACTAAGTCATCCCACCACTATCACCACAACAAGGCATTTCTAACGGTTTTCTAAGTAGAAATAATCTTACCTACTCAAACCTACCATCCAATCTGGGGAATCTTCATGAAAAATGAAGTCCAAAATAAGCACAAGGGACTCACAGGCACTCTGTGAAGGCTTCTAGCCTTGGGTCCTCAAAAGAGCATTTTCAGCTCTAGCTATCTGGTCACCAAACAATCTAACTATCTACTAGTCTTTTAATCCTGAAAACCTTACAGAGACTCCTCGTCACTGGGTACTCTCACCTTTGCATTTGTTTGTGCTCTTGTCCAGTATGGCCTTAGTGGAGACAATCTTGCCATATCTAAGGGAAAAGAAAATGCAAAGTGATAATGTTGGGGCAGGTATTTGGAACAGGTCAGGGATGGAGACATCTGGATGAATCCATGACCCTTCTTCACAACTGTTCCCACTCAAACCTTAATAAAAACAAGAAAAAATGAATTTAAAATGTCATGCTTATCATATACACCTATTCTCCAAAGGTGCCTACAAGAAATAAGGTAACTGTAGTCCTTATAGTATCAACACATTTCTCTCTTCTTCCCCAACTAAGACTCAGGTATTAGGTGGAAAGAGACTACTATCTTCTGGGAAAGAAGCCTGGTGATGTCCACATAACAGAATCTGTACAGGCAGAGCATTGGCTGGAATTCCCTGGAGACTAAATATAATCCTTAATAATTACTTATTTTCTTTTGGAAAAACACCATTCCTCCTATGAAAAATCATAGACACCTGTCTTTTCTGATACCCTGCTCTCCACCCCTGAGTAAAGGTTAACCTGAACCAAACTGTTTTTGTTCAAACCCTGGCTCTGGCACTGTGGAGCTGTCATCGTGGACAAGTCATTTAACTTTCCCAGGCCTCAGTTTCATTATCTGCAAAACAGGGTTGTTGGGAATACGATATGAATTCATGGATACAAAGCACTAATGTCTACTACATGGCAAACACTTGAAAGTTCTTAACTGCTGTCATTTTTCTTATTATATTCAAGGAACCTTAACTTTAGTGCAAACGGTTCTCTCTCCTGGTTTACTTTATTCTAAGATTTCTATTTCTCACTGTCAAGACTTGAGTATGTTAGGGAGGTGAGTAGGTATAAGGCCACAACAACAGTATAAGGACAATTTCCCAAAACTTAACAGTAAGACAAATGAGGACTGAAAATATCCTTTCAATGTCATTCTGGAACACTGTCTACAAGGCCCATTTGAAATATATCTCATTATCTAGGGGGGTATTTTTTTTAAGACCTTATTTATTTATTCATGAGAGGCAGAGAGAGAGGCAGAGGGAGAAGCAGGCTCCATGCAGGGAACCCGACATGGGACTCGATCCCGGGTCTCCAGGATCAGGCCCTGGGCCGAAGGCAGCGCCAAACCACTGAGCCACCCAGGGATCCTCTGGGGGGGGTATTTCTTTGACTTACTACTTACTACTAGGGTCCAGACCTTGTGAAGATATATATTAACTTGTATATTTTGTCCAGTAGAAATACAAATAATTTCTTTTTTTAATTTTTAAAAAATATTTTATTTATTTATTTTGGGGGGGTGGTGAAGGAGAGGAAGAGGGACACGCAGACTCCATGGTGAGCACAGAGCCTGACATGGGGCTTGATTCCCACCACCCCAAGAACATGACCTGAGCTGAAAAGAGAGAATCCCAAAGGTACTGTTTTATACTGTCCTGTAGGATATGAACCAATTTTGTATATAACCTATCAATCTTATTCCAACATTCTTTCTTTAGTACCTATAAATATTCAGTCCCTCAAATGCTCTTTGAATCCATTTTATCATCTTATTGGTTCCCTTATTAATGAATGAAATAAATCTTGAGCATGTGTTTACCTATATTTGTATGAGTCATGTTTTTCAACTTTATGAAAATTATACTTTGGCAGCAAAGTCATCTGGAGTTCCCCAAACTTGAGCAGTGCAGTATCACAGGTCAGGACTATATCACAATTGTTCCACTAGAAAGAAGTCTTTAAGTTTCGCTCCAAGAAGGTGAAAATTAAAGAATCAGAAGCATAGGATTTAACTGAAAACAGTTGGCAAGGACTGAATACGAGACCAATATCCTAAACAAGTGTTGGTTTTGTTTGTTTTTTTAACTTCCCCTCTCATCCCTAAAGATTATATGATGATTGATACATTTTTTGTTCCTTGGGAGCCATTCACTGACTTTTTTGGTTGGGCTTCTGTCACCCACTGAATTAGACAGAAGAAGCCAAGCAATGCCCTGGAGGCTGGGAAAAGAACACATTAAAATGGGGGTGGGGATGAATGTGGAGAGCCTAGCCCTTTAGGGCTACATATTTGGATTCTTTTCAAATTAAGGCAAAGGAAGGGATGCATGAGCCTGGCTAGAGGACATACATGCTGCTATCCCTATCAAGGCCTCCGGGTGGAGTTTGCTGTGGTCTGAACAGGTTGAGATAAGAGCCCAGAGTTTCTACTACAGCTGACAATAGCTAGGGTGCTGCTGCTTCTTCCACAGAGGACCGAGCCTCTCCAGGAGAGCCAGGGGTTCCTATCCCAGACTCTGTCTCTCCTGTCTGCCCAGCAGGGTTTAGGATCCAGCAACATTCACTTCCCCTACATCCCAGAGAGACAACTGGGACAAAACCAGGAAGTCCCTCTGTGCACGGTAAACATGCTTCCTAGAAAGGTTTAGCTCGCAGCATCCAAAAGGGTTTCAGCCACCTGCTCTTTTCTGCCTCCTTTTTGTCATAATTCATCTAGCACCTATTCTTTCCCTGCTTCATTTCTACTTCTCCATAGTCCCCTATTGAGCTCCTTAGTTCCATCCTATATGATGACCCTAACTATTCTCATCCCTTCAGACATAGTCAAAGGTAAGGCAACTGTTAGGAAGAGCAAAATGAAAGCCTAAAAGTATGAAGTAGACCTGAGTTTTTGTCTTGTGGTCTTGCGGAATGAGAGGATTTATGTAGCACATTTTAGTTAGTACTAGAAATACATGGTGCAGAAATCAACAAACCAGACTGATATGATAGTCTTTTCTCTCACACACCAATATTTCTGCCAATTTCCATTCCCCTCAAAAATTACTAGTTCTAGACTAAGTCCCCTCACTTCCATTTAAATAGTTTTCTAGCAAGGTGAGCTGAGGTAAAGAAACCAGTTTTACCCATATGCCTAGCCTTTAGAGATTGAGTTTGTACAGTGCAGTGTTAGCAAAAACCTGTATGATTTGCATGGACCAAACCTCAGAAGAGTAAGGGACTTATAAAATATCTCTGATGACTTCTACAACTACATTTTGGGGGCAGAATGTTCTGCTTTTCCAAGATTTGGAACAGCTAGAATTTACATACACTGCTGTGGGAGTTTGAATTAGTTTAACCACTTCAGAAAATTACTTAGTGTTATCTACAAAAGCTGAACACATGTATATCCTATGACTCATCAATTTATATTGCCAACATAAATGTGTACACATATGCACCGACATGTACAAGTTCATGGCAGTACTATTCATATTCACAATAGTCACAAACTAGAAACAACTCAAAATGTCCAGCAACAATAGAATGGGTAAATGAACTATGGTATATTCCTATAATGGAATTCCATAAGGCAATAAGAAGAAACAAAGTTTTGCTACATGGAACAATGTAGATGAATCTCACAAATAACACTGAGCAAAAGAAGCCAGACATAAAAGGGCATTCCACTATATCATTATATTTATATGAAGTTCAAACAAACCACAGCAATCAATTATTTAGATATCATTGGGGATAGGGGGGACAGAAACCGAGAGGTGGGCTTCTGAAGAGTTGGTGATGTTCTATGTTACAAGGGTATGTTCACCTTGTGAAGTCACTGTTGTATATACACTTAGGATTTGTGCACTTTTCTATGTCTGTTATATATAAATAAAAAGTTTTAAAAGATGGCTATTACACAGTCTAAGGTTCCTATTTCTATTTCTTTCCACCATTCACTTACCCAAACTCAGTTTTCCCTGCCTCATCCCCCAGACTTCTTCCTCTAAGCATTCCCTCAAATATATCATTTGAAACACATATTTTTCTGCTAAATGGAATTTAGCTGGCATCTTTGGATCCTTGCAATTTTTCCAGCATTCCCAACTGGGCTAATTCCACGGTAGTTATCTCTACTTCATGACTCAAATATACTGTGAAGAACCCCAAAAGGTATGTAAGGGGTAGATGCAAAGCAATAGCCTTTTTCTCCACCTTCTCCTTTATCCACTAATTTGAGAGCTCCTCTAGTTCACTGGGATTATCTCTATCAGTAGAAAAGCTCCTAAGTGTACAATGCAATTGTCTAGTTCTACCTTCTTCTACCCCTATTGCCAACTCTCACTGCCTTCTAATCAATATCTTTAGAGACATTAAGCATTTCTATATGAGGTGTAAGGACAGGAATCTTCCCACAAAGACCATCAGTTCTGGGAGCACAATGGAAATAGTCACATACTCAGCTTCAAAGGCCAGCCCATCCTGACTTTCCTCAGAGAAACACACAAAGGGGGGGATCCCTGGGTGGCTCAGCGGTTTCGCCCCTGCCTTTGGCCAAGGGCGCGATCCTGGAGTCCCGGGATCGAGTCCCGAGTCGGGCTCCTGGCATGGAGCCTGCTTCTCCCTCTGCCTGTGTCTCTGCCTCTCTCTCTCTCTCTCTCTCTCTCTCTCTCTCTCTCTCTGTCTATCATAAATAAATAAAAATAAATCTTAAAAAAAAAAAGAAACACACAAAGGTTTTATACATTAGAAGCAGGTAGAATTTCCTTAAGAGGGACTGCTAGGAAACCTTGTGACAAATAATACTGCATTTCAGGACAAGAGTATCTGACAAGAAGCCAGTATCACTGAATCTGTATTGTCTCTCAAGCCTCCTCACATGTTCCCCAACTTACGACTGGCACAATTTGACAAGGTCCTGGTCAGTAGTGCCTGGTTGCAATCCCCGAATATAGAGGTTGGTTTTGCTCAACTGGTCATTTCCATTGCTCCCACTGCTGCTGTTTGGGGTACTGCTGCTTGGACTAGGTGGTGCCATCTGCTGAGACAATGACACATATGGCTGCAGAAAGACATGAGGAACAGAAGGTCAGAAGATTATACATTTAGATATTGGAGAGTGAGGAAGATCCTGGCTCCATGGAAAGAATGATTCCAAACTTTAACAGCAATTAACTCAATAGAGGGTAAAAACAAAACAACACCAAAACTAAGGATTCCTCTCTATCATAGAATAAGAAAATACGTAACTGTCTTACCTATCTTTCATGAATAATGAGAGGCCAAAATAGGCTTGTTAAAGGTTTTGAAAAAAAAATACTTTGTTATAGTAGAATGCTTTTATCAGACTGATACTGGAGAACACAATGTATGCCTCTTAAGTTAATATAATGAGACGAGACTAACAATATCTAGGTTCTATTTGAAAATTATGAAGATGAGGGACACCTGGGTGGTTCAGTGGTTGAGCATCTGCCTTTGGCTCGGGGCGTGGTCCCAGAGTCCCAGGATCAAGTCCTGCATCGGGATTCCTGCATGGTGCCTGCTTCTCCCTCTGCCTATGTCTCTGCCTCTCTCTCTGTGTCTCAAATAAATAAATAAATAAATAAATAAATAAAATCTTTTAAAAAATAAAAATTATGAAGATGAAATAAAACTTTAAAACTATAAATAAATTTAACATATGATTCAAAAAAACTGTAGGAGAACTGCAAAATGCCTTCAAGATCTTAAACATTATTATAAACTTAGACAAATAAAATGAAATACAAATGACCATGTAAAAATACTAATTACCAGTAAAAACTTAAATTTGTTACCATACTAATACAGATTTAGTCCTAAGTAACTTACAAATTTTTAAAAGTTTAAGTGACTGAACAATAGATACATTATCGTCAAGGAAACCCAAGATTTGGGATGAAGCATCCCTCATCTCTTGCTACTGATACCAAGGCAAGCAACCAGATTCTGTTACATTTTTAAGGTACTTCTGTTAGTTGGGTGAAACACGGATCCATTCCTCATGGATATTTTATTTATTCTTTATTTTTTATTTTTTTAATTTTTTTAATTTTTATTTATTTATTTATTTATTTATTTTATTTATGATAGTCACAGAGAGAGAGAGAGAGAGAGAGAGAGAGAGAGAGAGAGAGGCAGAGACACAGGCAGAGGGAGAAGCAGGCTCCATGCACCGGGAGCCCAATGTGGGATTCAATCCCGGGTCTCCAGGATCGTGCCCTGGGCCAAAGGCAGGTGCTAAACCGCTGCGCCACCCAGGGATTCCCCCCTCATGGATATTTTAAATCCTTATGTCCTAATCAGGCTTCTAGTGTTTACATTTATATTTGGTTCATAATACTCTAAATTCGCACAGTTACCTATAATATAGTGCATTTTACTACATCATACTCCTATTCCAGTTCTCCCTAGGCTCAAAGCACTTTATAGCATTACTCTATTTGGAATTACTTCCCTCTCAAATGCTAGTTTCTTCTCTAGGTCCCCACCCCCACCCCTCTTTTTGGTGGTGGTGTTGAGGGCAAGCAGTAGTAACAGAAGAAAAAGAGAAACATGAATATCAAAGAGAAGAAATCTTCCTCTCCAAAGAATCTTAATGTGAAATGTGCCTCTTATATTTTATGACTCTGACCTTTAGCAAACTTTAAAATAAAATCTTTGCTTGGGCTAAAATGTGTTAAAGCAAGAATTTTCCTATCTTTGTCACTATACACAATAAAAATGTGCACTCACTTGCACAAACACAGCAGCTTATCCCTTGGCTCTACATTGCAGCAGAGACCTAAGACCACATTCTGAGATGGCCCAAAGACTCATGACTTACTACAGCTACAATAACCCGTTGTATTTCCCAACCTTGTCCTCTTTTCTTTTGCCAGCACTTATACTAGGACTTCCCATATAGAACAATCCATATGATGGTGGTGACAGTCACATGATACAGTCAATAAAGGCAGATGGTGCATGCGGCATGTGTGTATTTTTTTTTTAAGATTTTATTTATTTATTCATGAGAGACAGAGAAAAAGAGAGAAAGGCAGAGACACAGGCAGAGGGAGAAGCAGGCTCCATGCAGGGAGCCTGACATGGGACTTGATTCCGGGTCTCCAGGATCAGGCCCTTGACCGAAGGCAGACACTCAACCGCTGAGCCACCCAGGCGTCCCCCTTCAATGTCATTCTTAAAACAAGTACTGTCAAAAAAGAAAAAAAAAAAAACAAGTACTGTCATTTCTAGATCTGAATGTATCACTTTTAGGTTTATTTGCCCTATTTTTGTCTTGTCTGAAAGTTGCTTAAAAATACACAATAGGGCAGTTTCAAAGATGCCAGGGCTATCCAAACGAGAACACAAGGGTTACTGAAGAAAGAGATAAACTGAAAAGAAGTTATTGATTTGCTACATAGCTATAACCTTGTTTTTAATACTAAGGCCTTAGCTATCATTTAAAAACATCACTTAGGGCAGCCTTGGTGGCTTAGCGGTTTAGCGCCACCTTCAGCCCAGGGTGGGATCCTGGAGACCCGGGATCAAGTCCCATGTCAGGCTCCCTGCATGGAGCCTGCTTCTCTCTCTGCCAGAGTCTCTGCCTCTCTCTCTCTCTCTCTCTCTCTCATGTCTCTCATGCATAAATAAATAAAATCTTTAAAAAATAAAAACATGACTTAGTTGATAATAAACTTGCTGCAAGGCCTGAAAAATTCCTAAGGAAAAAGATATGGTTAAAAAAAACCCCAAAACCTTGGGGGTGCCTGGGTGGCTCAGTTGGTTAAGTGTCTGCCTTCGGCTCAGGTCATGATTTCAGGGTCCTAGGATGGAGCCTGGCATCAGTCTCCCTGCTCAGCAAAGTGTTTGCTTTTTCCCTCTCCCTCTGCCCCTCCCTCATTCTCTCTCTCAAATAAATAAATAAATAAATAAATAAATAAATAAATAAAATCTTTAAAAGAAAAACAAAAAAACCCTTTTATCTCTTAATTCAATGCAGCTGAAATTGCCACATAGGTTTGGCTCCAAAGAGAAATGGTAAAAAACAAAACAAAACAAAACAAAACAACCCTCATTTTGAGTGGTAAGAGAGTCTAAGAAAAAGAAAAGAAAATTTGAGAAAGTCCCTAGGTAAAGCCTATATGGATTCCCAAAGGAAACTATTTGGGCAGACATAATAACTAATGTAAACTAAAAATCCATGTTTACCTATGTATATAAGCAAGAAAAGGGTAGTATGTACAAGGGTACAGAACTGAGATATTCTTATGGGGGCGGGAAGCATAGGGCAGTATTGACTCTCTTGACTCCTACTGAAATGGTTCTCTGAGGTCACTAGTCCTGTCAGGGCCTAAGCTAGACACTGAAGAGCAAGATATTTCCTTAATTCTTCTGTACTATAGTAGATTTCATAAACCAAAGCAGACTCTAAATTCTAAGCTAATTTGCTTTTTATCACAATGTCCTAAAATATGTCATTTTCATGTGAGGTAAACTCCAGGGTTATTAGAGAAGCTGAAATGGCTGAGTTATTAGTACACCAGGTTCTCTTCAGGACGGGACAGAAATCTATTATAGCATCTATCAGTTAACTATGTCCCTTTGAATGACATGTAATTTTGTTCTGCTGCTAGAAGAAAAACTGGCAGGTTGTTACTTATAACCTTGGTTCACATTCATGTAGGTGGAACTCCTGAAGTCATTTGAATTAGTGGCCCTTCAGAACAGGACTTGGAGGGACGTCTGGGTGGCTTAGTCAGTTAAGTGTCTGACTTCAGCTTAGGCCATGATCTCCGGGTCCTCGGATCAAGCCCCATGTCAGGCTCCCTGCTCAGAGTGGAGTCTTCTTCTCCCTCTCCTTCTGCCTCTTCCCTGCTTGTTTGTACACACACACACACACACACACACACACACTCTCTCTCTCTCTCTCTCTCTCTCTAAAATAAATAAATAAAATCTTAAAAAAAACCCCAAAAGACCAGGACTCGGAATTGTACTATGCCCTATAATTCCAAGATATGACCCCTTTAAACAAGGGCCCTCATATTCAGCCTAGAATCTTAGATACCTGAGATTATTAAATTTGCCTTCAGAAAGGAAGGATGGTAGTATATTATGTATCAAAGGAATATGCAAAGTTATCTGGTAGAAGAGTACAGGTATCAGTCTTCTCACAAGGCAGATTTAATTCTGGAAGTGAGTGGGAAACATTGATGGGTTTATAAACAGAGACACAATATCACATTTCTCAGCTGCATTATCAAAGCTGGTTTAGAGAGGTGGGAAACCAGAGGGTGAGACTAGTTAGGAGATATTAGACATGAAGGGAGGTAAGGAAAAAGCCTAAAGATTGGTGGGGTGGTATTTAAAGGGCGTGCAGAGAATAGGCCGTGATGAATTTCTTAAGAGTATCTGGGAATAAATACTTGGGGAAGGGCTTTTAGGATGGGGATCCAGAAATGTAGAACTCTTTCATCTTTATCCAGAAAAAAAAAATCAAATTCCCTTCTTCCTGTAGCAGGAATTTTAAGTTTCTTGTGTTGCTGAGTTGTAGGAAACTGGGAGACAAGACAGTGTTCTTCCTTTTGTTCTCTTTCAAGAGATCATAATGGTAGAGATGATAAAATGCCAACCCCCCCAATCACTAAGTTTCCATCAGATCTTTAAGAGAATGATCCAGTAAGATAAGCTACTTGTGAATTAAATGTGTGTGTGTGTGTGTTTTTTAATTTGGAAAAGAGATAGCAAGAGAGAGCACAAACTGAGGGGAGATGGAGAAGCAGGCTCTCCACGATGCAGGGAGCCTGCGGTGGGCTTGATTCCAAGACCCTGCAATCATGACCTGAGCTGAAGGCAGACACTTAACCAACTGAGCCACCCAGGCATCCTTAAATTATAATGTAAGTAAAACGCTATCTTTGTTCTGAAAATTAGATTCTAATCAAGTGTTCATTTTGTGTGGTTTAATAAAATTGAGAAATCCTGTATCCATTCATTTGCCATCAGTCATCCCAATCCTGGGCCCTTATCTTTACTTATTACCATCAGAGCAGG